CCCCGCCCTCAATATTATCGTCATCGACCTCTGTTACAGTCAATCGCTGCGTATATCAAATACCGCGTGTCCCGCGGCGCGTTTGCGCCCGACGATACGCGATATCACGGCGATATCATTGACATCCCGCGGAGGTGCACGTGCTGCGCGCAGGCACGCATTCTCGCACACGTGGACGCCGAGAGAGACACGCATCGTTCATCGAGCAGACTCGGCGGACTCTCGCGCGTACACACACGCACGCATACATAGAGACACGGCGAATGTAGCGAGAACGAGGAGAGATATCCTCCGCTCCGCGTGCGGGACCTATATAACTGTACCCGGCTCTGTCTGGGTCAGGGGGCGGGCCGCTACGTTTGTAGTATACTCCGTATATCGGACAGGTGTACCCTATTCCGACTCTTCGAGTTCTCGCGTGCACCTCCGAGAGAGCCACGCAGCTGTGCGCTCTCGCCCCGCGCCTCCTCTTTCTAGCTGTCGCGCGAGCGGGCACATCGCGGTGTATCGCGTCACCACGAGGTGATCAGTCGAGCACGAGGAGCTCCCGAAGGCTCTCTAGATCCCGTGTTTCGGACCTCACCAAATTCTCGCCAAATTCTCTTTCCTCTCTCTTTCTCTTTCTCTCTCTCTCTCTCTTTCTCTCTCTCCCCCTTTCTTTCTCTTTTCGACTCTTTTTCTCTCTGTTTGTCTATCTGTCTCTGTTTCTTCCTTCCTCTCTCTCTCTCTCTCTCTCTCCCTCTCAACCTCTCTCTCGCGCGCGGATCCCAACGTCCGCGAGGTGGTCATCAGCGTGCGGGATCGTACGGATGTGCGCCGGGACGTCTTGACATCCGGCGACGATCAGTAGTGGTGAGACTCGAGTGATTTCTCCTCCTCGAGTTATCCGGAAGGCGAAGGACCGAGCATAACGTCGGCACTAACGCGCCCTCGCGCATCCGGACGACCCTCTGGAGAAAGAAGTAAGATTTCGCCGGTGTATCGGCTGTCTCATCCGCCACCCGCTCTGCCGCGGTCCGTCAGTTGACTGTTCTCGCACGGGAAACACGTTCGGTTCGTGTAATCGAATTTCTGGCCCTTGGAGATCAGAGGAAAATCCGGTGGCGGGAAGATCTCTCTGTTGTTGCGAAGCAAAAACATTCGTCCGATCATTCGGTCGCGTTGACAACCTCAGCTGAGATGGCCGAGTTGTAACAAACAGTTAAAGGCTGAATGATACGAAAATCTCACTTGGTAATGTTTTTGTTTTTATAATCGAGTTTTCGTCCGAGTTTCAGGAAACAGAAATTCGGTCGTGCAAACTGAGTTCCTTTTTTTTTTCGCATATAAACTCTGCGTTTCCGCGCGAATCGTCTCGGCGAGCTGTCTTGGATTCAGAGGCGAGTGAAATAAATGTTCAGTTACTGACCAAATGGCCAAGTAATTTCATCGTGGAAATATGAACT